ATTGTTAACCGAGAATGAAAGTGGGCTAAATCATTTTTTTCCTTTTTCTTATTTTCTAGTGAAAAATACTATAATTAGAAATAGTCATGGTAGAAATTATGCTTATATCAGGATGCTTGCAATTTATTACTAGTAGAGAAATAGTAATCTGACAATTAACCTGTGTGTGAACGGAGACTTAAAAGTAAAAATTTTCCATTTTAAGAATAAAGGAATGAAGTCTTTATTGTCTTAATAAGGCTAAATCTAAATATTTCACTTAAAGATTATACAGTCCAGGGAAATGTAAAAATATTGAATGTGTACATCATGTATATCATGGGAGAATACTGCCACCTTGTGTTTATGTGATGCTATTTTATGTCTCCATTTTCTTTTGTTACACCAACTAACACTTTGCTTTTTCACTGCTTGGTACTGTGGTCAGATATGTAAATGTGTAAAACATTTGTTTTATTTTTTATGCTGTAAAATCAAGCCAACTTTTGTTTGGGGAGGAGATGGGGTGGGTCTTGTATTTTGAAAACGTTAAATTTGTTGTAGTTAGCTTTAAGAATTGGTATGTCTGAGAGATTGTACTGGTTAATTGACTTCTGGAGTTAGTTGAGAATTGTATCCTTTTACTTGAATCTTACGGGAAGTTGGTGATTCTTCAATTATTCCTCATTTTAGTGTTTGTAGTGTTTTGCGGTTATTCTGAATGGCAGAATTCATTACACTGTAGAAGGTAGAGGGCATTTGGCTTCTGACAACCATGTTCCTTGATTTTCAAATGTTTTGCTTCAGGTCAAGTGCAGAAGAATGACTGCAATCCAGGTTGAGCATCCCTAGTTTGAAAATCCAAAATCTAGAATGCTTCAAAATCTGAAACTTTTTGAGAACTGACATGAGATAATGACACCTTAATTTCTGATGGTTCAATGTACACACACTTTTTAAATGCACAAAATTATTAAAAATATTGTATAAAATTACCTTCAGGCTATGTGATAAAGTGTATATGAAACATAAATGAATTTCATGTTTAGACTTGAGTCCTATCCCTAAGGTATCTCATTATGTATATACAAATATTCCAAAATCTGAAAAAATTCAAAATACAATTCTGGTTCTAAGCATTTTGGATAAGGGATGGTCAACCTGTAGTAACACGTAGTAGTGCTTTGAAAAATATTGATGTGGAAAAAGAATGGGTTCCTTTAAATCATTTTGGCTACCTGAACGTGTGACATATTTGCACTCTGAAGAGAAAGAATAACAAGACTGGGAATCAGCCTTTGGAAGCTCATGTCTAGCTTAACTGCAGGACCAGGGGTTCTTCTCTGAGCACAGTTTTTTTATCTGAAAAATGAGCAGCTACTGATCCTACAGATCATTTTAGCTTTTGAATTCTGTGACCATGTAGAACTTTACTCTAATTTTAAAATGTTAATGTTAATGTAATCCCCTTCAATGTCCTTATACTCTTATATTCTCTATAAGAAATAATTTTATTTAATACAATTTAATGTAATCATATAGTTGGTCTTTAACTATCATAGTATATCTTAGTAATTTGAGGGGATGTATGTGTATAAAAGTTAAAAACCAGAAGCCTTCAAAATTTACCTACTTTTTATTTAACACAGGAGATACTTGAAGATATCAGAAGATTGGTGTGTGGTTAATCTAGATTTTAATTATAAACTATTTAAGCAACGTAACACTTTTGGGCACAGATGCATTCCACATGCCTACATTCCACCTTCTAAGAGGACTCCAGAAGTTGGTATAAATATGATAGAGCCCATAATGTTAGTGTAGGTAGGGAAATAAGACATGAGCAGAGGAACTGTGGAATGGGCAGTGTAAACAAAGGGGATGCTAAGTAAGAAAACATACTGTAACAATAACAAGATAAGGGTAATTGCAAGTGTCACAGAATGTTAGCTTAGGTAGGAAAGTGAGACATGAGTAGAGGAAATACAAAAACGGGCAGCATGAATAAAGGAGATGCTGAGTAACAATAACAAGATAAGGGTAACCACAAGTGTCATAAGAAACATAACAGAAACAACACAGGGCACATTCTGGATGTTGTGATTTCCCCCCCATCCCTCCCCCCTGCCCCTCAGCGTGAGCTTTGGGTGCCAGGCCTAACCATGTAAGGTGAAAGACACCCCCACCCGATGGCAGGGAAGAGACAGCATCCCCATTGGTCAAGAAAAAAGGGAGAAGAGACATCATGAAAGGAGGTGAGGCCAAATGAGAGAAAAAGGTTTGGCACATATATCTCAGAGCCACTGTTTGTTTAAAAGTGTGCCCACTTCTACCCTTTTAGGAAAGTACCATTGCTTACTAATAAACTTCTTTGCTCCCTGATTTAAACTTCTGTGTCCATTGCTTTCATTCTTCTATCACGAGGAGACAAGAACTGAGGTGTTCATATCAACTGCTGGTAACAATATTAGCCAGTTTCCTGATTGGGATGAAAACAGAGAAACAAGTTTGTTTTGAGAGTTAAAAACTTGGGAGTTCTTTAGGATACTACCCAATTTGAAAATTTAAGGCCAGAGATTGTTCAGTATGTAAATGTCTTCATTTTGTAGTATGTAGCAGCAGATGTTTCCTGTTCACCTTCGTGTTTTTCCTTGTGAAGTGCTCAGAGTGAGCCCTCATAACCAGGTTTAGGTTTTTACTTTGAGGCAATCTGGGTATAATTTTTTTAAATTCTAGGAATAATTTTAAGGAAAATGATTCTTAATGTTAAGCTTCATAAACACACCAAATTCATCATCTGTACTGGAAGTGATTTCTCAGGCAAAATGACTTTGTTGGTATTTTTGCATTTATTTTGTGTAATTCTAAATTACCATTTTGCAGAGTATGAAATTCATGATAAATGTTTAAATTCACTAATTAATAAAATACCTTCACATATAAAAATCTATGTGCACATTATAAAACATTAAGTAAAGATGTTACTTTTATAAATGTATGTAAAAACATACATTATTTTAATGTAAATGTTTATGGAAATTAATAAGAAAATACTAAGTAAATTACATGTAATAAAAGTAGAGAGAGTTTACTCAAGAACAAAAGCAAAGTGGTAAATAACTGAATCTTTTTGTTTGTTTTTAAGAGACAGGGTCTTGTTTTGTTGCCCAGGCTGGAGTGCAGTGGCTGTTCACAGGCACAGACCCAGTGTACTGCAGCCTCAAATTCCTGGCTTTAGGTGATCCTCCTGGCTCAGCTTCCTGAGTAGCCTAGTCTGTTTTTGGCACCAAAAACAAAAAAAAAACACAACAACAACAAAAAAAGAAAAGAGTACAATCTTCAGTGTGTCAAAGGTGACATTAGTCATGAGGTTTTTCTGTAGAGATTTTTTCCAAAAATTCTCTTCCAAAACCTCCCTTTACAGTAAAGTGAGGTACGAATGTTATGGGATTAGAAGAAAATATTTGGTGTTAGTTTATAACTGACTTATCTACAAATCCAGTTTCTTGATTGTTAATCTGGTATTTGAACAGTTTTGTATAGGTACTGTAGTTTTTATTGATAGTAAATTGTAATTTTAAAGAGCATTCCTGGTTCTTTGTCACAATTTTATGTATAAATGGAGATTTCAATTCATAATTAATTCCCTGTGTCTGGTTCAGTTGTATTATGTTCATGGTCCACTTGTTTGAAAAGCCTTTGAACTAGAGCAGGAATTACGATTTTAATAAAAATTTACTTGTCAGTTGTCATTTTCTTCTTCTTGAAAATTATAGAGAATTAGAAGAACACTTTCTGAGTGTATCTTCATTTTGAAATTTTAATGCAACAAATGACTTTCAAGATCGAGAAAGGTTTTCATCAAGTTATTTGCATCATAAACTGCGTAGTTGAATTTATAATAAGATTCACCACCAGTTTATTTCACTAGCCAAGATCACAGTAGGGTACCGTGCTGTAACATGTAATAAAAGCTGACACAGTATATCAGTGTGGTTGCTTATTGTCTTCTGCACAGGCCTAGACCTGTCTATTCTTATGTGATGTGCAGAATTGAATGATTAAGTCATTGGTTTTGATGAAAATGATTTTTAAAACTATGAAATACTGGTATTTAGAAATTAAAAAAGCATATTGTTTTGGAATACTAAAAACTGGTATAGCCATCAGTTATTATGATATGTAAATCAAGGTAGAGATTGGTAGTTACATGAAAGTTGAAGGATTTAGAATGTTGGTAAACCCAGCACCGAGATTTTTAATCTACTTTCTAATACATACAAAACTTTGTTTCTTGTTCAAGTGAATTGTTAGTTTTTTGTTTTTTTTTTTGAGACAGAGTCTTGCTTTGTTGCCCAGGCTAGAGTGAGTGCCATGGCATCAGCCTAGCTCACAGCAACCTCAAACTCCTGGGCTCACGCAATCCTACTGCCTCAGCCTCCTGAGTAGCTGGGACTACAGGCATGCACCACCATGCCCGGCTAATTTTTTCTATATATATTAGTTGGCCAATTAATTTCTTTCTATTTATAGTAGAGACGGGGTCTCGCTCTTGTTCAGGCTAGTTTCGAACTCCTGACCTTGAGCAATCCTCCCGCCTCGGCCTCCCAGAGAGCTAGGATTACAGGCGTGAGCCACCGCGCCTGGCCGAATTGTTAGTTTTAATTGCAAAACTTTTTAGGCTGTCCAACAATGTAAACTCAATAACATATATAAAATAAAACATATTTGTACTTAAAGCATATCATATTCTTTTTTTTCATCTTTTTCTTTCTTTTTCCTTTGAATGCATTACATTTATTGGTTGTAGCCTTCTATAAAACAGGCTCTGCTCATCAGAGTGATTCTTTATTGAGAAATATTAATATGTAGACATTTTAATAAGTACTCATTTTATTTAAACTAATACAATATCAGTGGGCATAAGGTCTTTTAAATGATTGTAAAGTTAATAATGAATGATATACTGTTTTGAGATGTTTAGCATAAATCTCATTTATCTATTTTTTTCTTCTTATTAGGCAAGAAGTTATGAAATGGAATGGATGGGGATATAATGATTCCAAATTCCTCTTCAATAAGAAGGGCCAAATTGAGTTGACTGGGAAAAGGTAACCTGGATTTGTTTACTTCTTCTTTTGTTCCATCTTTTCCTCTTTCTTTCTACAAATAATTTAAACATACATAAAAATATAATCATCCCTCTTCCAATTTAAAAAATTGTCAACATTTTGCCATAATTGCTTCTTTTGTTTTCCTGTAATATTTCAAATTCTGACATTGTCAAGTCACCTCTAAATATTTATATATATATTCCTTAAAAAATAAGGACCTAATATAAGCAGTCATCTGATACCATCATATCTTCAGAATAACAAATATTTTATATCTAATTATCCAGTCCATATTTACACTTCTCTAATTGTCTCACAAATGCCTTTTATAGGTAGTTTATTTGAATCAGACCCAAATAATGTCTACAACCACCTTACCACCCAATCCCCATTGGTTTGTTGAAAGCAACTTTATGTTTAAGTGCGGTAATTTACCTCTGAGCGTGTGTTACTATGAAAGGTGAATAGTGAGTGTTAGGTCCGTGTGCATGTAAATAATATTTTAAAAATTAGTTTCTGAGATATATTAAAGAAGAAGTGATGAAGAAAGATCAGTTATTTGTGATAGTGTTCATATTTCTGAAATGTTTTGGGTAGATAATGTGTTGGTAAGAATTATGAAGGATATCTATTCAATCATACCTCAATAAAGCTGGAAAAAATTTAAAAGAATTCTAAAAATAATAATTTTTTATTATCATTGCTTGTTCTAGATGTGGATAGAGTTGTAAAATGATTTCTTAGTTGATTTTAAGTAATACTGCCCCTGCCAAAGCTGTGTTTTTGGCTTGTCTATTGAATTTTGATACAACTTTTGAAAGGGCAGCAAGTACAAATATGTAATACTCGTATGCTGGCTCTATAAAAAAAATTAAAAGTTGAGACAAAGTACAAAATTGGATTAGATGTATTATAAATATATTCTAGTATTGCACTTTGATTTAATATCTATTGGGCATTAGGTTAATTTTTTTTAAACTTATATGCTTATATCAACATATTGAGTTGTCAGCAAAGAAATAAGTTTTATTCCTTTGGAAAAGTTATTTATTTCCTTTTCATTGCAGTGTAATCAAGCCATTTTTCTGACTTATATGTATTTTGACCTAAAATAAAACCTCAGGAGTAGTGATTTGGAACTAATCTTTTTTTTTTTTTTTTTTGAGACAGAGTCTCACTTTTGTTGCCTTGGCTAGAGTGAGTGCCGTGGCGTCAGTCTAGCTCACAGCAACCTCAATCTCCTGGGCTCAAGCGATCCTCCTGCCTCAGCCTCCCAAGTAGCTGGGACTACAGGCATGCACCACCATGCCCGGCTAATTTTTTTTTTGTATATATATTTTTAGTTGGTCAATTAATTTCTTTCTATTTTTAGTAGAGACGGGGTCTCGCTCAGGCTGGTTTTGAACTCCCGACCTCGAGCAATCCGCCTGCCTCGGCCTCCCAGAGTGCTAGGATTACAGGCTTGAGCCACCGCGCCCGGCCTGGAACTAATCTTAATGAAAGTATGAAGATGTATATTACAATTTTTTTTAATAAGACAAATAATACTGTCTATGTTCTTATTCCCATCCCTAAGTCTGACTGGGTAGCATGCAGCTGGAAACTTAGTTGAGAAGTTGTATCATTCAGGTAGAAGGGATTACTGGTTAAAATTAAATATACCAGTGTTCTAAGTGTAAGTCTTTTATTTTTTAAATAGTCTTTTATTTTTTAAGAGTAATGACTAGTACAGTAGAAACATCCATGTGGAGACTGCCTTTTCAAAATCTTCTGAGGAAAAATAAATCTTCTGAAGTTAAAAAAATAACTTTCTTTTCGGACACTGTGCTCACATCCATCTCTGTCTGTCTGTCTGTCTTTGAACCTTGAATGTACAGCATTTCTGGAAGGGGGTGGATAGTCATTTGTATTTTAGCAGTTTTCTATGCTGTAGGCTATGTACTGTATTTTGAAAGTGGTCACCTTTTTATTTTACAGGTGATGTTATTTGTGAATGATAGGATTCACAAAGATCTCAGAATGATTCTGTCATGAATATCAAAGATCTGTATTTTACAGAGATGCAAAGTAATTGTACATTTAAAATGTAAGGGTACAGTAGTAAAATCTAATTGTTCCAAATTGGTCTTTTTGTAGGGCATTACTAGCACATAGTAGCACATGTATTATAAACAGCTTCCCAGAATTTATACTTTTACCTCACTAACGTGAAGAATATTTTATATGCTAAATGACTAACTTTAGTTGTTTTAGCTATGAGTCTCATACTTGTTGTCATTCTAATTTCTGTAGATTTATGAAAAAGGTATTATATAATACCTAAATTCAAACATAGCATTTTGGCTTGATTTTTAGCACTTGAGATATTTAATCATTATTTTTTCTTCTTTTCTGCTATGATTTTTATCTTGCTAACCTTTAGGTAAAGATTGGTTTGAGAATTTTAGATAGTATTTTTGTTGTATATGAGGCTAACATAAGAGATGACATTCACTCAGAGCTCATGCTGTGTAATTGTTAAAATTATGTAACCAAATGGGTGCTCTCTGTCACTTCAAATTAAAAATTCTTTTTGAGGCCGGGCGCTGTGGCTCACGCCTGTAATCCTAGCTCTTGGGAGGCCGAGGCGGGCGGATTGCTCAAGGTCAGGAGTTCAAAACCAGCCTGAGCAAGAGCGAGACCCCGTCTCTACTATAAATAGAAAGAAATTAATTGGCCAACTGATATATATATAAAAAATTAGCCGGGCATGGTGGCGCATGCCTGTAGTCCCAGCTACTCGGGAGGCTGAGGCAGGAGGATCGCTTGAGCCCAGGAGTTTGAGGTTGCTGTGAGCTAGGCTGACGCCACGGCACTCACTCTAGCCTGGACAACAAAGTGAGACTCTGTCTCAAAAAAAAAAAAAAAAAAAAAAAAAAAAAAATTCTTTTTGATAGGGCCCAACATTGGCTCCTTTCATAATGAATTTTGATTATAAACATATATTTACTTTTGGTGCAGTTTTATCATCACCCACTGGCTGCTGCTGCTTTTTTTTTTTGGTTATTTTCTGAAATTAAAGTAATCTTTCGAGGATAGTTGCTAAAAGCTTCTGTATTTATTCAAGCTCCAGTGAAATGAGTGGGAAATACAGTTTGCCCTCCATATCTACAGATTTTGCATCCATAGATTCAACCAACGAGGATAGAAGAAATATGAAAAAATGACAATACAATAAAAGAGAATACAAATAAAAAATGTGGTATAACAACTATTTATATAGCATTTACATTTTTTGAAGTATTATAAGTAATGTAGAGATGATTTAAAATATATGAGAGGATGTGTGTAGTTTATATGCAAATACCATTCTATTTTATTTAAGGGACCTGAGTATCTGTGGATTTTATTATCTCTGGGAGTCCTGGAACTAATCCCCCATGGATACTGAGGGAGGACTGTAATTTTGAGCAAAAGTATTTCATGTTGTGCATTTTAAATAGTTTGCAAGACACAGATGTTAAGATCAGTATATAATCTATTCTAATCTAGTTTCAGTATTGATTTAGTTGTTCTTTGATCTGGAATATATAGTGACTATTAGAGTCACTCTTTTTTTCTCCACTTAAAAACACAAAACAAAACAAATAAAAAAAGCTATAGAGGCCGGGCGCGGTGGCTCACGCCTGTAATCCTAGCTCTCTGGGAGGCCGAGGCGGGCGGATTGCTCGAGGTCAGGAGTTCGAAACCAGCCTGAGCAAGAGCGAGACCCCGTCTCTACTATAAATAGAAAGAAATTAATTGGCCAACTAATATATATAGAAAAAATTAGCCGGGCGTGGTGGCGCATGCCTGTAGTCCCAGCCACTTGGGAGGCTGAGGCAGCAGGATTGCTTGAGCCCAGGAGTTTGAGGTTGCTGTGAGCTAGGCTGATGCCACGGCACTCACTCTAGCCTGGGCAACAAAGCGAGACTCTGTCTCAAAAAAAAAAAATAAAAAAAAAAAATAAAAATAAAAAATAAAAAAAAAAAAGCTATAGGAGGACTTCAGCCACCATCTTTGAAAAAAATAATTTTGATTTTACCTCATACCATATACGTAAATCAATTCCAGATGGATTATAGACTTTAAATGTATAAGCTTAAAACTGTAAAACTGCTAGAAGAATACACAGAATATTTTTCCAAGTTTAAGGTAGGTAAAAAACAGAACCAAATGCATTACTTTACAAAGGAAAAAATTATCAATTAAACAACATTAAAATATAAAACGTCTTTTCATTCATAGACTGTCTTAAGAGAGTGAAAAGGTAAATCACAAAGGAAAAATGTTTAATACATATACTCTTGATTCCATAATATATAAAGACTTCTTATATATTAATGAGAAAACAATAAACCAATGGGAAAATGAGCAAAAGACTTGAACTGGCATTTAAAATACAGGATATCCAAGTGGACAATAGATATAGGAATAGATGTTCAATCTCATAAGTAATCAGTAAAATTCAAATTAAAACTCTAATGAGATAACCAGTAGAATGTCTCAGAGTTTCAATTATAGAATTTCTATTGTGTTTATCTTTATAGTTTATTTCTCTGCTGAGATTTTTTTTTTGTTACTCACTGGGAGAATATTTTCTGTTTGTTAGCATAGTTATAGTAGCTGCTTTAAAAACCTTGTGTACTATTTCCAGTATGTTGGGGCATCTTGGTGTCAGTTGTTAATTGCCCTTTCTCTTGATTATGGATCATGTTTTCTTGTTTGTTCATGTCTAGTAATTTTGGAGTGTGTCTTTGGAATGTGTTTTGCATTATATCTTATGGGTACTCTGGATTCTGTTACATTCCTCTGAACAGACCTTTTTTTCTTTTTTTTTTTAAATCAGGCAATTAACTTGATTAATCTTAGATTCCAAATCTGTCCCTCTGGGCGGGGGGCAAGCAGCTAGATTGTTAAATTCTTTTAAGCTTAACTGGGCTGCTTCAAAGACTTTAATATATACTCCATACATGTGTCATTCTGGGTCAGCTAAACATTTGAAGAGAGTTAGTACATAGGCCCTCTCTGACTCTTTTCTTTCTGTGATTTCCCTGGATACTTTCCAAATGCAGTATTCGCCCAGACATTCTCCTCTGGTTCTTCAAGCCAGGAAAACTGTAGGTTTTCAGCAGTTTTGTTACCTTTATGGTATCAGCTAAGGCCTGTCCTAAGGCTAAAAACCTATTTATAAAAAACAAAGCAAAACTAGAAAGTCATGTGGTGCTTTTTTCCTTCTTCTAAGTATATAATACTCCTTTCCCCTATTTTTGCCTGCTTTTGAAAATCAGTCTGTACTGCCTTTGGATAGCTGGGTTTTGTTTGTTTTATTTTGTTTTTGTCCAGAGTTTATAGTTGCTTGTGGGAGAGTTTGCTTGATAGAAGCTGCTTGACCATTACTGAAAGAAGAATCTAAACTTTAAATTTAAATGAAGATACTTTGCTCTAATATTTTACTTTCCTTGTACCCTAGGTACCCTCTTAGTGGCATGATTTTACCGACTTTTAAAGAATGGATCCAAAATGCCCTTGGAGTAAATCTGGAGCATAAAACTACCTCTAAAGTAAGTAAGTAAGAATGATTATTAACATGCTTACCTGTGTTTCTTATATTGGTCTTGTTAGGTCATTAGGGGCAGGTTTTTAGTTCACAGATCTAGTTTCTAATCTCAGAATTTATCTGAGATGTATTTGGCAAACTTTTCATATTCTCTGAGCCTTTGTTATTTTAATTTGAGAAGTGGGAGTAATAACTATACTATCTGTCACAGGGTAGTAATGAAGTGCAAATTATTTACTTTTCCTGAGAGCATTTTGTTATAAAAATATAAGTTGCTGTTATTTTTAGATTATTTAATAGATTGACAGCAATCTAGGATTAATATAACTAAAATAAAAATTTAATTTTACATTCAGTATTAGAACATTTAGAATATTTGAAGAATTACAAAATGAAAATTTGATTAAGATATGAGTGATAGAGAATTTCAGTTTATATAGTTTCACTTTTCTGAAAGTGAGGTTAGAAAACTTTAAACTGTATACATATGAAACTAATGAAATATTTATCACTTCTACATGCTATTATTCTACATGTCTCTTACTGCATATAAGTTCCATAAGTATATACGGGCTATATCTTCAAATATATTCTCCACTGTATCTAACATGTCATTAAGAAGTATAGGTATTAGTATTAGGTTTATTTATAAATCCATAGTTATTTAATGCTAGTTATTAAATTAAGCTGAACAATTAATTCAATTCCTCCTCTCAAACCAAAGTCTTTTAACTTTTTTTAAACGTCTCTTTTTCATCTCTTAAATTCTCTCTCTCTCTGTCTCTCTCATTTGCAGTTACTTGTTTTTGACATTGATACAATCTGCATACCATATTAAAAATTTCACCAGGTTTAGATGCACTCCTTTTTTTCTGCTTTTGAGCCCTTTTCAGTTTTTAATGACTTAAACATTAGTATATTTTTTTGAGTTTTTTGGTCATTTGCTTCTACTATAGGATAAATTTCATGAGGTCAAGATTTTTTTTTCTATTTAACTCACATTTGTATCCCCCCAGGGCCTAGAACAGTGCCTAGCTTATAGCAGGCACTCAATAAATATTTATTATATGAATGAATATAGTACCTTAATGAGAGACTTAGAATATAGAAGTATCATATGTTTTTATTTATATATTCTTATATAATACTTCCTTTTTTTCCAAATACTATATTATAGCTTTTTTCCCCCAATAGCAGATTGATTTGGCCAGCCATTTATAGACTTCTTCCTATTTACTATGCATGCTATTAGGTGCTTTTCACAAAAATTATCACATTTAACCTTCCTTATGTTAACCCTATATGTTTGGTGGTGATAATCTCATTTAACAGATGAAGAAGCTAAGTAAGGCTCACAGAATTTGGGTGACGTGCCCAGTGACATATAGTTTTAACTTTAAAGTTGAGAATTAGATTTCAAGTTACCTGTTACTTGAAGTTGTGTATCAAGTTTATAATTATGGTGTGAGCTTTAAACTTTAAGCAGCTCATAAAAATGTGTTTATTACTTGTTGTGAGGCTTTCTGTTAATCATTTTTAAATGGTAATTGAAGAATAAGAAATACTAAATTTTATCTACAGGTAAAAATGTAGATAATGCAAGTCAAGTAGCTTTCTTCTGTCTCCTTAATGTAAAACTGAAGATTTGAGACTTTGATATCTTTCCTGTTCTTGATTATGGTCTTTAGAAATAATGAAAAGGTGGGCCATAGAAGCAGAGGAAACATAGGGCCTGTATAACTTATATTGTAGAATATGATTAACTAGACCATTTGTTATTTGTTACTGTCACAAAGTTGGTTTCTGTATGCATTACTTGATATTTTCCTCTGCTTCTGTCTTATTTTAGATGAAAAAAAATCTACATTTTGTTGTCATTCTCCCTAAGAGAGGTATTCAAAATTTATTGTCTAAAAATAAGTCAAAGAAGCCAATTTTATTTTTTAGGCATCCTTAAATCCTAGTGATGCACCTCCTTCTATTGTAAATGAAGATTTTCTTCATGACCTTAAAGAAACTAATATTTCATATTCACAAGAAGCAGATGATCGAGTATTTAGAGCTCATGGTAAGCTACTTTATATTAACACTATTTATTTTTAATTTAAAAATTTTCTATAATTTAAGATGTTTTTGCATTTTTTTCTTTCTTAAACCACAAAACAGGTCATTGTGTTCATGAGATATTTTTGCTCAGGGAAGGAATGTTTGAGCGAATTCCTGATATAGTTCTATGGCCAAGTAAGTTTTTCTCTCTTTGCATTATTAATTTAATATTGTTAAATCTTAAGTAAAGTTAGTACTGGAAGTATATACTTTTTAACCCATGAGTTGTAAAAAATACAAATATACTGAAGGCCAAGAAGTTCTTTCTTGACCTGACTGTCTTGAACTGTTGGATTTAATGGTTGATTTTGTTGTTGATGATAGTCTTCATTTTAAATGTAAATAATTGGAGGTCAATGGGAAATTTTTTTTTGGCTAATTTGGAAGCTTAGTGAAATTAGTATTAATCAGTGATATATTTAGGTATGTAGAAACTGTTAACATAATTGATTACTGTAAACTAACAATAGTAATTTGTTGACATCAGCTTGTGGGCTCAAAAGCATGGTCTAATGGTGAAACAAGTTGATTAAAACTTATATATTCTGCAGTCAAATGTTCTACCCCTGAGCTATACTCCCTAAAACTTATATATTCTATATATACATACTGTATTTGAAATGAGTAATTAAATTTTGAGAACTTAATTATTTAGATTTGGCTTGGGATAGAGAATGGATAAACTTTCTATTATTTTGCTCTTGGTGAGGATTAGGCACTATATTTATGTACATGGTTTCTTTTTTAATTCATCTCTTTTAGAAGACACTTTAAAGCAGGGTAGATATATTGTTTCTTGCTGTCCACTGTTGTGTTTTTAAAAACTTCCATTGATTTTCTGATTCTTTTTCTTGTCAGATCATCTTCAGAATATATGGAGTATTTTATTTTTCAAAAAATTGGCTCAGGCTGGGCACAGTGGCTCACGCCTGTAATCCTAGCACTCTGGGAGGCCGAGGCGGGAGGATCGCTCAAAGTCAGGAGTATGAAACCAGCCTGAGCAAGAGCGAGACCCCGTCTCTACTAAAAATAGAAAGAAATTAATTGGACAACTAAAAATATACAGAAAAGAATTAGCTGGGCATGGTGGTGCCTGCTTGTAGTCCCAGCTAGTCGGGAGGCTGAGGCAGAAGGATTGCTGGAGCCTAGGAATTTGAGGTTGCTGTGAGCTAGGCTGATGCCACAGCACTCTAGCCTGGGCAACAGAGTAAGACTCTGTCTCAAAAAAAAAAAAAAAAAAAAAAAAATTGGCTCATTCATGGACTCTCAGTTCTTAGATGAGCTCCTTCTACTTTACAGGGACTGAGGGAAAAATTACACTTTAATATGGGAGCAGGAGGGAGGTGAGATACACAGAAGGAAAATCGAAGAGCATATGTGGCAGAGATGAAATTATGTTTCTGATACTTATGATGCATATTCTTCTGTGCACTTGGAATAGTTATGAAATAAGTCTTCTGACTGTTAGTTTACTGTAGAAATTTGGCTGTTCCTGAGGAAAGGAAAAGGATATCCTAAAATAAAAGAAATATTTCTGTTTTGCCTGCTCGCGTTTTTGTAGCTTTAGTCTACTTCTCTACTAGGGTTGTGGGGAAGGTTCATTCCATTTTTTATTGAAAAACACAAAAGCAAAATTTAACAATTTTCAACCTAATAGACTTTTCGTTGATATGTCATGAGAAGAATGTTCAAGTGTACCTCCTAGGTATTTTCTTCATTTTCTTTGAATATTAAAATACTAAGAGCTGGGCATTTACCTGTAGTCTCAGCTACTCCAGAGGCTGAGGTGAGGGTATCGCTTGAACCCAGGGGATTTTGAGTTCAGCCTGGGTAACATAGACCGGTCTTTGAAAACAAAACTGAAAGAATACCAAAGTGGGAGTATGTGTCTTGTTTTAAGATGTCCAAGAATTCTTTTTTTTTTTTTTTTGTACAGAATTCTTTTTTTTTTTTGTCTCTGTTGCTCAGGCTAGACTGTGGTAGCATCATGATAGATCACTGTAAAACCTCAAACTCCTAGGCTCAAGCAATCCTCCTGCCTCAGCCTCCCAAGTAGCTGGAACTACAGGCACATACTATTACACTTGGCTGATTTTTCTATTTTTTTTAGAGATAGGATCTCACTGTGTTACTCAGGCTGGTCTTGAATTCTTGGCCTCAAAACGGTCCTTCCATCTCAGCTTCCCACAGTGCTGGGATTATAGCATGATCTACTATGCTTGGCCCTCAAATAATCTTAAAAATCCAGATTTAGGAAACAGATGGTGTTAGTCAGTTATTGAACAGAAATTTCTTTGCTTTGTGAAATCCTTCCCATTTGGTTGGTTCCCTCATACCTTTGCTCTTCCATTTTTTTTCCATCCCAGTTTCCAATTCAGTCCCTTATCAGTACTTACTGAGGTTTTGCAGTAGCCTTAAAGGTTTTCATGCCTCATGTTTCTTGTTTTTTCAAGCCTCCCATACACTTTTGAGAGGTTAATTTTTCTAAAATGATCTCTTTGTCATCTTGTTCCATACTTCAAGAATCTGTATAAATGGTATATTCCTGGTTGAATCATGTTTATAATTTTATTTTGTTGAATCTTCTAGTTTAAGGATTTCTTTGAAATAGTTTGTTTCCCAACAAGTTATTTGTTCACTGAGGCCTTTCTTTAAACTTTAATGGAAATTTCCTATTGCTGATAAAGTTCAGGGTTTTCTTTGCATTAAGGCAAGTTTTGAGACAATGTGGAAATTTAAGGCAATGTGATACTCCATAAAGACTGTAGTTGTCTTTAAGTATGACTTTAATCTGAATTCTATATGTTGTTTTAATGGGATTTCTAGGACTTGTCTAAGAGTAAGTACTTATATATACAACCTACCTGATTTGAAGAAACAGAATTTGTCACCATTGTGACCTTTACACAGTATGGGTAGATCTACCTTTCATTTAGTTTGGGCAAATAATCACTCATATAATGCATATTGTCAGTGGTAAGTATGCTTGTAAAACTTAGAATTTCCATTAGCAATAAGATATTTTAAAAAATTGCTTATTCAATTTAGTATTAAATTCTTTTATTTATTTATTTTTTTTGAGACGGAGTCTCGCTCTGTCACCTGGGCTAGAGTGCTATGGCATCAACCTCACTCACAGCAACCTCAGACTCCTGAGCTCAAGCAATTCTCCTGCATCAGCTTCCCAAGTAGCTGAGATTACAGGCACACCACCATGCCCAGCTAATTTTTCTATTTTTAGTAGAGACAGGGTCTCTCTCTTGTTCAGCCTGGTCTCGAACTCCTGACCTCAAGTGAGCCTCCTGCCTCGGTCTCCCAGAGTGCTAGGATTACAGGCATGAGCCACCGTGCCTGGCCTCAGTATTAAATATTTACACATTATTTTCAGCAGCCTAAATATCATAACTTCAGGCCTGAGAAAATGCAGGCTAGAATACTGTTCTACATGCTTGAGGATAAGCAGTGAATAAAACAAAAATCGTTGTTCTCAGGTGCCATACAATTAATTGGGGTGGAGGGAGGGAAGCCGATGATAAAATATATAACATAATGGGAAGCGGCTGTAAAGAAAAGTAAAGTATATAAGAAGGTAGAGTGGAAAAGGGTAGTAGATAGGGGATTGCTATTTCAGATAACATGGTCAAGTAAGGCTTTTGAGTAGGTAGCATTCCTAGAAGGTAGTTTTTCCTTGTTAAAAGTTCTTAATTAGACATCTTTGGGCATTTTGTTATTAATTAACTAGTATTCCATTTAGTAAAAAATTTTACCACAAATTCTAAGCTTTATAAATTTAATCTGAAAGTTGGAAAATGGATTTTTGTTAAAAATGGAAGAACACAGACATTTATTCTTAGCTTTAAGCGAACCAGAGAAATGATAATTGCAACTTTTATAGAACAGCATTTTTGCTTTCATAAATGGATATCCATTTGTCTATTTTCCTTAGCATCCTTGTTTCCCTTTCAGACTTTTAGCAACTAATACTGGGTTTTTGCATAGTTTTCTTGCCTCAACTCTCTCACCTTTATGTCATTCCATATTCTATCAGGAGATTGATTTTTCTAAAATAATGTCTTTGCCATTTTGTTCCCCTACTTAACAACCTCCACTAATGTTCTATTGCCAGTCAAGTTATGTCTTAGTACTTCTTTCTTGGCATTTAAAAATCTTCCAAAGTCAGGTTTTTGTTACTTATGTAACTCTTACGCTGATAAATAGAACCTTTTGATTCTGTACAATAGAAAGGAATTTATGTACAGTATATTTTCAACATTTGTTTAAAAAAAAGAATAAAGAATCATCAGTGGTGCTAAAATTAGTGGGTGAAAGTATGATGAGAAACATGATATTTATGTAGTCTAAGTATCTCCCTGCACTTAATAATTTCAACAGGAAATAAATATACTACCCTTATGGTGGGAAACCTAGCAGACACTACCTAACCAAATGATGAAAGTTAACATTACCAGAAATGAGACATGACTGTATCAGTGTGCCTTCAGATGTAATGCACTGGAAAAGGCACAATATCACTTCTGTGGAATTCCTTCCAAAATGTACAACCTGAATTTAATCATTTAATCATATACAAACCCAAATTGAGGGACATTTTATGGGATAACTGACAAGTGTTGTTCAAAAGTATCATGGTCATGAAAGTCAAAGATAGATTAAGGACATGCCTATCTTTAAAGAAGACTAAGAGGACATGACAACTAAATGTATTGTATGATCCTGGATTTGATTCTGGTCTGACAAAGAGGACCTTAGTGGGATAATTGGCAAAATTTGAATAATATCTGATGACTAGTTAATTGTATTGTAGTAATGTTAATTGCTTGGTTTTGATAATTGGACTATAGTTTTATAAGGTGTTAATATTCAGAAATATGGGCTGAAGGAAAATTTCTGGACCATTTTTGTAACTTTTTTTAAAGTCTGAAATTATTTCAAAATGAAAGTTAAAATAAAGTATGTTTTTATACAGCTATTTAATGTGTTAATGAGTGAATAAGTAAAGGAAAAGTTTAGATGCTTAAGAACTTCATAATCCATATTTTGCAGGGATACCCAGATTTTATTCATGCTGCTATGATTAATTTGTTTTCCCTTTTTTCAACAGCATGTCATGATGATGTAGTTAAGATTGTGAATCTAGCGTGCAAATATAACCTTTGTATCATACCAATTGGTGGTAGGTATTATGCCTTTTGAATTTTAATATGATATAAATTTGTTCTGTTTAAAATATTTGTATTTTAAAAATTTGTGTCATCCCAGTGAAAGGATATATTATTGTAATTATGATGTGGTTATTCTTAAATTGGTTCATGGTGCTCATTTGTGTTCTCAGAAAGTCTATATAAACTGAGATGTGGTGTACCATTAGTTTATGGCTTTTTCCTATTAGATCCAAGGTGAAATTGTGATTTAATGCCTAAATAAGAAAATGTTCCTGCTTTAGTAATTACTTCCTAACCTGTATGTTTATGGAAAGAATTTTATTTTTCAAAAGCTAAATACAAATACACTTAATATAAACCTTTAAGAAGCAGAGTAAACATAGAACACTATGCAGATTAGAAGATCAACCAGTACAATGATGACCAAGTCAATAATATCTTTTAATATAGAAAACTAACATTGTTTTCTATTTTAAGATGAGTTTGACATCTTGACCTTTCTAACTGCATTGTTTTTAACAACTTACACAAGCCAAAGGAAATTATCTTCACCAACCCAATTGGCATTAATGGAATCAATTTATTAATGAAACACCAACAATTCTAGAAGCTCCAGATTCTCTCTTCAGCTCATACTTTTTGTTGAATTCATGCAAAGAAGGTACTACAATGCCACTTATTTGAAATATTTTTCTGATTTCAAAGGACTGTGGCAAGGAAATAGTGGTTACTGATCGCAGGCATCATGTTCTTAACTGACAGTTTATGATCTCACATTGTAAAATTAAGCTGAACCTTTACATATTAACACCCCTTCTTGTGGAAGGTGACTGCCACATGTTTTCTTCTATGCAAAATGTATGGAAATACCAATTAAGAATTTATTCTGATATCTGGTGGTTTAGATCTAGTTAGAACTGAGAACATCATATTATTATTTAATGGTATCAAGAAAGCCTGTTTTTCTTTAACAATAAATGTTAAGAGAAAACAGCAGTATATTGTTTAAATATTTCTATGTATTATTTATTCTATATAAAACACTTTTTCACCAAAGAACATATAAATTTGTTTTTAAATATTTTATAATCTAGACATTTTAAACTTGTTTCTATTCTCTTAAAGCCTTTTTGTACAAGAATATACTATTTTAAATGATAAATGAATCTCATAATTATGGTAGAAAGGAGGTAATGGTTATGTAGGATGGGTCTTTTTTCTTTTAAGCTACCTCTCCACATTAATCATTAGCTTAGAACTTTTCTAATCATGTTTTTGGAGTTCCACAAATTGCTAGGGACTTCACTTGAGTGTGCCATGTCCAAGGGATGGAGCCGTATCTCATTGCTTTCAGTTCCATAATATTGCTTCATTTTGGCATGCAGCATGAAATAAAGGTGAGTTTGCTTTTAGTGTGGTAGTATTTGCAAATTGTATTTTGCAAAGTAGTAATAGGTGTCACTTTCCCACTGGGCCTGTGTACACTTTATTAGGGTTTTTGCCCTAGAAATGTAGCTTAAACATATTTAAACATAAAATTGTTATTTCCTATTTTCGCAGGAGGAACAAGTGTTTCATATGGCCTGATGTGTCCTGCAGATGAGACAAGAACAATTATTTCTTTGGACACTTCACAAATGGTATATGATAATTTAAGATGTATTTGAAGATAGCTTCTGTTTAAAACATTGTTTTTATGGTCCACCTTAGTTATCAGGTGTTGTTGTAGACCTGTTGTCCATTTTGTTTTTAAATGTATTTTTTTTTTTGTTTTTTTTTTGAGACAAAGTCTCGCTCTGTTGCCATGGGTAGAGTGCAGTGACATCATCATAGTTCACTGCAACCTCAAACTCCTGGACTCAAACGATCCTCTTGCCTCAGCCTCCTGAGTAGCTGGGACTATAGGCGTGGGCCATGACACCTAATTTTTCTGTTTTTAGTAGTGATGGGGGTCTTGCTTTTGCTCAGGCTGGTCTCAAATTAAATGTATCTCATCATATCTTACTCCTGTTGTCAGTTCTCCAAAAGCTGAGTTCACTCTTACTCTTAGGCATATATCTTGATTCTATTTTACTAAATTGGTGTGTGAAATGGATACTTTGAGCAGCATGTATTGGAATATTGATCCACCAGATGACCTGATTTGTGTTATTAAAAAACAGAATGGATAATATTAGTTGAGGTTAATTTGAATCACCAAAACTTAACCTGTCCCTCAAATTTACACTAACATTTTTGATTGGGGATGAATAGAAGAGCTTACTAATTTTAATGATAGTATTGCATTCTGAAGTTTTGGCTCATTGTGGTCTACGGGTTGGATGTTGTGCCATGCTAAGGTTTTAATTTGAGTGTGAACTTTATCTTCATATAGTCAGCAATACTCTTGGTTACATATTCTTTAATTAAAATAAAATTTTTTTAACTTTTTAATTTGAAAGTTTTCCAAACACAAAAATAGAAGAGTTTACCCATTCTCTAGATTAAGTATTAATATTTTGTCATACCTACTGTATCTTTCTTTTTTTTTTTTTTTTTTTGAGACAGAGTCTCACTTTGTTGTCCAGGCTAGAGTGAGTGCCGTGGCGTCAGCCTAGCTCACAGCAACCTCAAACTCCTGGGCTTGAGTGATCCTTTTGCCTCAGCCTCCTGAGTAGCTGGGACTACAGGCATGCGCCACCATGCCCGGCTAATTTTTTATATATATATCAGTTGGCCAATTAATTTCTTTCTATTTATAGTAGAGACGGGGTCTCGCTCTTGCTCAGGCTGGTTTTGAACTCCTGACCTTGAGCAATCCGCCCGCCTCGGCCTCCCAAGAGCTAGGATTACAGGCGTGAGCCACAGCGCCCGGCCCATCCTTCTTTTTTTCTCTAGTATTTTTTAAGCAAATATTGATATGTTACTTTGTATCTAAATATTTCTCTCTCTTTAACAAAGGACATTTTCTCAAATTACTACTATAATATTATCACTCCTGGCAAAATCAAAAGTAATTCCTTATGTTACTTAATATTCAGTACACATCACATTTTCATTCTAAAAAAGTCTTTATTTTACAGTTCATTTGATCAAATGGGCATCCAGACAAAGCTCATATTAGCTTTTTGTTATTTCTGTTACATCTCACTTTATCTAAAAGCCTCCTCTTTCTTCTTTTTTTTTTTTTTTTGAATCTACTGATCTTTGAAGAAACTAGGTTGGTTGTAGTATCGAATTTCATATTTTGAATTTGTTTGTTGCTTCTTCTTGGTGTTATTTAACTCTTGCTCTAAGCCCTGTATGTCCTCTAAACTGAAGTTAGACATATAGCCTAGTTAGATTCAGACATGCAGACATAGGTTTTGTTTTTAAAGGAGGAACACTTCATGGATGGTGATGGGCTTTTTTTTTTAATGTCACATTAACATCAAGAGGGGGGGTGTATTAATAGCTGATCATCCCGCTTTTAGGGATGCTAAAATTGATTAGCAAATTCAGATGGTAACTGCCTGGTTATTTTACTTTAAGGTTCTCCATCAACCTTTCTCCTTATCCTAGAGTTTAAGAAAAGGTAATTTCCTTAGAGGACAGTTTAAGAATGTATTTGAAGATAGCTTCTGTTTAAAACATTGTTTTTATGGTCCACCTTAGTTATCATTAAAAAGACCTGTTGTCCATTTTGTTTTAAATGTTTGTGTTTTTTTTTGAGACAAAGTCTCGCTCTGTTGCCATGGGTAGAGTGCAGTGACATCATCATAGTTCACTGCAACCTCAAACTCCTGGACTAAAGCGATCCTCTTGCCTCAGCCTCTTGAGTAGCTAGGACTAAAGGCGTGGGCCATGATGCCTGACTAATTTTTCTGTTTTTAGTAGTGATGGGAGTCTTGGAATTCTGGAATAGGCTCTGGAATGTGTTTGAATTTCTGGCTCTTTACCTTACTGTGTGCAAATTTACCACTAAATCTGTTACTGAATGTGTAAAATAGAGATAGTAATACTTACTGCAGAAGGTTATTGTGCAGATTAAATGAGATAATATAAGAAAAAGTCTTGACACTGAGCAGATACTTAAAATTCTGTGGCAGAATTTTAAACATCAGGCTTCCAACCATTTGTTTTGCAGAGAACCCTTGTATATTTACTGCCTTTAACCTTGAACTGTCTGAAATATTATGATGGATGAGGGACACTTATAACTGTGATTTGCATTGAAGTCATGTCTATATAATTTTGTACAGTGTACTTCTGATATAATGTGTAGAAAATATAATGGGAATTAGATTCTCAGTTTTCTGCCTAAATATATATGGTAATACTAAGGCCAGTTGGCCTTAAAATTTTTGTTTTTCTCTTATTATTAACTTGGGTTGGTTTGTATATAGTAGATGTAAGAGGTCAGCCTATATATTTTCTTTAGGTTTTTCTGTGAGTGCCCATAAGGATGATTTTGTTCCCTCCCTCCTTTCATTTCTTTTTTCTACCATAAAATATGTTTAAACCCTTGATAGGTACAAGGTATATATTTAGCATGAGTATATAATTGCCTTAAGAGTCAGTCTGTTGGAAGAGAAGATATATATAAATTATTATAAGATATCAGATTTATACATTTTTTTGTCTTTTCACTGTATAGTTTAATAATGCATTCTTTTGTTTAGTTGCCATAGTACCAAGAGTCTGATTATACCATAATATAATCAGAGTTATATTGAAATTACTATTGTCTTATAGTGAGAGTATGAGTTTTATATAATGAAATAAATAAATTCACATACATCATCTCATTTCATATTTATCATAACCCTACGAATTAAATAGTGCAGTTATTTATATGTGTTCAAATTTGGAATTTAGACAGTGAATGCTATTTTTTTATTATCTGTTGTGTTCTTTCCTTTTTATTAGCTTGACTTACCTGCATTAGTTATTGCCATGAAATTGAACATATCAAAGTATGAAGAAAGCTTCCCTGGGGTCCAGCAAAAGATTCTATATATTATCTGATTGCTCAGTCAAATAGAAGGGGAAAGAAGTCTGCTTTTAATAGTAGAAGTAATTTATGGAGATTCATGTATACATAAAAATTAGGTCAAATAAGAATATTAAAAAACAGTTTTTATTGGCAGTCATATATATGGTAAATTGAGCCAGATGATATTCAGTTCCTTCTTTTGAGCATGAGGCAGGGATGTGCTTTGTTTTCTACATGAGGTCCCTGGTCCTATTCCGGATTGAAAATAAAGCAGAGATGGCATTTGCTATTTTCAAATGTCTTTGCAGGTGTTTTTTCCCCTAATTTCATGGTTGTTTTCTGATATTCTTAAATTAGATGTGATTGCTATCTTAACAATAGTGCAGATAGTGTATACAGAATTTCATGACTTCTATAGGCTAAGTTTTTTACATGCAATATCTCATTTAATCCTTATAGTAACCCTGTGAGTATGTATAATTTCTATCCACATATTACATATGAGGAAACAATAAGCTTAGACAGTTAAATAATTTGCCTAAGGTAGGGGATGAAGTTTAATTCAAATTATTAATGATATCTGAGTAAAGACAGACTCTATGTTTTATTTATTTATGAGACACGATCTCACTCTGTTGCCTGGGATAGAGTGCAATGGTATCATCATAGCTCAGTGCAGCCTCAAACTCGTGGGCTTACATGATCCTGCTGCCTTAGCCTTCCAAGTAGCTGAGACTACAGGTGCACACCACCACACCCAGCTAATCTTTAAAATATTTTGTAGAGACAGGGTATCACTATGTTTCCCAGGCTAATCTCTAGCTCCTGGCCTCAAGCAGTCTTCCCACCTCAATCTCCCAAAGTGCTAGGATTACAGGTGTGAGCAGTCTTGTTTTAAACCAACGCCTGCATAATATACTGTCTTTGTTACTTTGTCTGTTATGTTGTATAGTCAGGGATAAATGGAGCTTGTTTCCAGTGTGAGTGGTTAGGGGAAACCCTACTTGCTTAATTACTAACTTGTCACTTGTTGCTTTGAATTAGTAAGTTATATTTCCTGAGAAAATATCAGTAGTTCATGAAGCTCAGACTTCTTTCCTCCTTTGTAACAGAATCGAATCATCTGGGTTGATGAGAATAATCTGACAGCTCATGTAGAAGCTGGCATAACAGGACAAGAGTTGGAAAGACAGGTATGTTATTTCTTTAATTAACATTTTCAAAACTGCTGTGTCCCCTCTCTGAATGAACTGCTTTTCACAATACATTCATTCACTCAATGAATTTGTTCAGTTTCCATTGTCGCCTAGGCATTGAGCAAGTTGCTAAGTACATCATGATAGTGAATAAGACACCATCCTTTACCCTTGGGTGGCTTATGTTAGGACAGAAAGTTAGATAAATAGACAGTGATTTAGAGTGAGAATTGCTATGTGGAGGCTAAATGCAGGATATAATGGGTCATCAAATGGGGCTAGGCAAAGAATTGGACAAAAAAAGGTATCACAGAGAATGTGGCATTTAAAATGAGACTTCAGGATGAGTCTGAGTTAGCAAAAAAAGAAGATGGGTCAGGGAGAACAATCCAGTTAGAGGAAGGAGCATGTGCAGAGGCTTTCAAGGTTGTTGTTGCTTTTGGGACACTGTAGAGAGCTGAATATGGCTGAAGTGAACATACATTCTTGGTGTTTGTATATTGGCTAGAAGTGTTTATAGTAGTGGTAAAGGATCAAGCCAGGAAAATATGAAGAGGTCAGATGGTAAAGGGCCTTGTAAAGTCCCTAATAGAAGTTTGAACTTTCCTTTGTGTTTAGATTGTTATGGCTACTGTGTGGAGAATGGATGGACCATATAAGGGTAGGTTAAGAGACTACAACAGTAATTTAGGTAAGAGCTGATAGTGACCTGGAAATAAGGTAGTAGGAATGGAGCAAAGTGGAAGAACAAATTGAACATAGAATTCTGGGATCTTGATGATATATTGTGTCAGCTGGGTAAATGTTCGTATCTGCTATTCATTGAACTTTTCAATGCATAATTTCATTGACAACTGCTCATCTGTGAGTTAGTGAAATTCTTGGGGTCCTTATAGTACTTTTTGGAAGATCCTAATGAATTTTTGGAAAATTTTAGATTTCCTTCATGGATTCTAAGCCAGTAATTGTGAAAATAAATTGATCAAACATGATCAAGATGACTGTAACTTAGCTTTTGTAACCAAAAATTAGAAAGTCCAATTTGTTGGTGATGTATTGACTACTTTGTTCAACTTGGGTTAGGGAGACTCCTCTCCTCTAAATCTTTAACAAGAAATAGAGATGTGATGTAATTGTTGATCTTATTTTTATTGTCTTTTTCCTTCTTTCTTGGAATGTTGATTGAAGTTGGTCTGCTTGTGACCAATTCTGGATGACAGGCTTTGAAAAAATTATTAAACTATAATATTATCTTTATTTTTGATTTAATACAGTAAGATGCAGAGAACTGGAATAAAATTGAACCTGTTTGTTGAGGCAGTATTAAAGATCTTCAATAAGTCAAAGTTTTATGTAAGTCAAGTAGATTTGTTAATTATTATAGTTTATAATGAACTTCAGTGGGCAGAGTAATAGTATTTAATGAAAAACCACTAAAAAATCTGGCATTCCATTGTACCTAAATGAGGCATTATCAACACAGCAATTATTTTTATAACAGAGAATGGCCTTTTATGTCACCAATTTTATATCTTTATATAGCATTTGATGTAGTATTTTAACCTTTCCAAGTTTTCTTTTTTTTTAAAGGTTAGAATTAAAATTCAAGGAATATATTTCCTTGAAACTTAAATGACATTTTCCTAGACTAGAAACTTCTGATATTGTATCTACTAGTTCATTTCCCTAAATGTCAATATAGAACTTTCTCTTTTGCCTCCAGCAGGCTATACTATATTAATGGTTTCTACAGCTGTTTTGATTCTATTAATAGTTCAAAGTCTTTCCCATTAAACTTCTGTGTCCTTCAGTTTCTACTTCAGCTGAAATAATTAGCTTAAAACATTCTGCCTTTTCCTTCTAGAAGTTTTAAAATGACACAAATACAGTGGTTGGGTAGCACAGATTTTAATCTCTTTAACCTGTAATTTGCATTGATATTAATATTTGTAAAGTTTAAGGGGAGTCACTAATATGTCAGTTATGGATTTGGAGAATTTTTTTAGGTTTATTATATCTTTGGCTACTTTATTATGTGTGACTCTAATGTTGTTTTCTGCCTAGGGACAGTATCACTAATAACTTCATATTATCTTTCTTTGTTTCTAATAACTATTAGCTCTTAATGTAAACCTCAAATATAGGTGCTGGTTGTGTGACCTGGGGCAAGTTATTAACCTTTATGCCTCTGTTTCTTTATCTATAAAATGGGGATAATAATTCCTACTTCATAAGGGTTTTGTTAGGATGAAATAAGTTATTAATGTAAAGTACTTAGAACTTTGATTCATTCCACTTTTATTGAGCACTATCTGCTTCATTCAGGCACAGCTAACTTTAAATATTCCTTTTATATGCTGAAGACTCCCAAATTTATGTCATCATCCCTGACTTCTTTTCTGAACTATAGACTTATATATCCACTGGCCTGGTTAATATCTCCACTTGGATATCTAATAGACATTTCAAACTTAACATTTTAAAAACTGAATTTTTGGAAGGAATATTTGCAATCTTGCCTCCAAAATTCATATTCCCACTAGCACCATATATGAGTTCCAGTTTCTCCATATTCTTACCAATTAGTCTTTTTAATTTTTAATATTAGGCATTCCAGTAGGGATCCCATTGTAATTTTAATTTGCATTTCTCTAATGACTACTGATGCTTAACATCTTTTCACATGCTTATTTACCATCCATATATCTTCATTGGTGAAGTTCTGTTTAAATTGTTTGCCCAATTTTTAAATTAGGTTGTTTTCTTATTATTAAATTTGAAAGTTCTTTATATATTCCGGACATAAGTTTTTTTTCAGATATATGCTTTGCATATATTTTATTTCAGTCTGTGGCTTTTCAATTCTTTTCAGTATCTTTTGAAGAGCAGATGTTTTTAATTTTTATGAAGTCCAGTTTATTAATATTTAATCCCCCCAAAAGGCCTGTTGGGATTTTGATTGAGATTGCATTGACTCTGTATATTAATTTGGGAAAACTCACATCTTAACAATATTGATTTTTCTGACTTGACCCATTAACATGGTATAGCTTTAGTTTTTTTAGGTCTGTGATTTCTCTAGCAGTGTCTCGGTTTTCTGTGTACAGGTCTGTCTTTTTTTTTTTTTTAATGACATTTGTCTATAAATATTATATATGTTTTATGTTATTGTAAATGGTATTTAAAAAGTTTTTTTATTAGTATATAGAAATACAATTGAGTTTTGTATATTGATCTTATATCCTGCAAGCTTGCTAGATTCACTATTAGTTCTACATGCTTTTTTATAGATCCCATTGGATTTTTTACATAGATGATCATGTTGTTTATGAATAAAGAGTTTTCTTTCTTCTCTGTCTCCCTCCCTCCCTCCCTCCCTCCCTTCCTTCTTTTCCTTATCTGACTCTGCTGGCCAGAATATTTAATTTTGAAAAGAAATGAGAGTGGACATCATTGTCTTGTTCCTCATTTAGGAGAAATGTGTGCAGTCCTTTACCATTAAGTATATGTTAAATATAGGTGATTTTGTAGATGCCTTTTATCAAGATGAAGAAGTTCCTTTCATGTGTTAGTTTATAGAGAGTTTTTATTAGGAATGGATGTTGGATTTGTGAAAAAATATGCCTTTTGGTGGAAGTTGAGGTGGTAATATACTTGAGGTCTGTTTTATTTTCTAATATAGGCTTCTGGTGCTATAAATTTCTCTCTAACTACTACTACTTTGGTGGCATCCTACAAATTTTGATGTATCAATTCATTTTCATTAGTTTCAAATATATTCTACTTTTGAGTTTTTTTCTTTGATCCATGGGTTACTTATAGGTATGTTATTTAGTTTCCAATTATTTGGTGATTTTTCCAGATACTTTTTTATTATTGATTTCTACATTCCATTGTGTTCAGAAAATGTACTTTATATGATTTGAATTCTTTCAAATCTGATACTTGTTTTGTGGCCCATAATATGGTCTGTTTTTTAAATGTTTCATGTGCATTTACAAAGAATGTGCCTTCTGTTACTGTTTGGTGGAGTAGTCTATAAATGTCTATTAGGTCAAATTGATTTATAGTGTTATTCAAGTCTTCTATATTTTTCCTTATTTTCTGTCTACTTGTTCCATCAGTTATTGAGAAAGGGATATTAAAACCTCCAGCAACAATTGCAGATCTATTTCTTCTTGCAGTTCTATTAGTTTTTGCCTTGTGTATTTTAAAGTTCTGTTATTAGGGGAATAAATGTTCAGGATTGGTATGTTATTTTGATTAATTGATATTTTTGTCTTTATGAAATGACCTCCTTTATTCCTGATAACATTCTTTGGTCTGAAATCTACTTTGTCTGATATTAAAATAGCCATTGCAGTTTTCTTTTGATTATTGTTAGCATGGTACGTCTTTTTCCTTTTTGCATTCTGTTACTTTTTTTTTTTAAAGAGACCTGGTCTCTCTCTGTTTTCCGGGCTGGAGCACAGTGGCACAGTAGTAGCTCACTGCAGCCTTGAACTCCTGGGCTCATGTGATCCTCCTACTTCAGCCTTTCAAGTAGCTGGGACTTTAAGCATGAGCCACCATGCCCAGTCCATTCTTTTACTTTTAACTAGTTTGTATCTTGATATTTTAAATTCCTTTCTTACAAGCAGCCTATCATTAGTTCTTTGTTTTCTTTTCTTTGTTTATTTTTTTTATTTTTTGAGACAGAGTCTCGCTCTGTGCCCGAGCTAGAGTAGAGTGGTATCATCATAGCTCGCTGCAACCTCAAACTCCTGGGGTTAAGCGATCCTCCTATATCAGCCTCCTGAGTAGCTGGGACTGCAGGCATGCCACCACCAGTCTTGCTTTTGCTCAGGCTGATCTGGAACTCTTGAGCTCCAGCAATCCTCCCACCTTGGCCTCCCAGAGTGCCAGGATTACAGATGTGAGCCACTGTTCTTTTTTTTTTTTTTTTTTAATTTTTAATTTTTATTTTTAAGAGCAAGGGTCTCACTCTGTTGCCCAAGCTGGAATGTAGTGGTGCAATCATAGCTCACTGCAGCTTCAAACTCCTGAGTTCAAGGGATCCCCCTGCCTCAGTCTCCCCAGTAGCTAGGACTATAGGTGTGTGCCATTCCTCCCAGCTACTTTATTTTATTTTTCGTATGGTTGGGGTGTCTCTATGTTGCCCAGGCTAGTCTCAAACTCCCAGCTTCAAGTGATCCTCTCACCTCAGCCTCCCAAAGTGCTGGAAATTTTTTTTTAATCTCAGACATTATATTTTTCATCTCCAAATGTTTAATTTGGGTCTTTTTATATCTTCTATGCCTCTACTTAACTTTGTGAGCATATGGAATATAGTTGTAATGACCGTTTTAATGTTCTTGTGAGATAATTCTAACATCTGTGTTAGTTCTGGGTTGGTTTTGATTATTCACCTCATAATAATTATTTTCTTCATTGTGGGTTGTGTTTTCCTTCTTCCTTGTATGCTTGGTAATTTTTGATTAGATGCCAGCTATTATGAATTTTGTCTTATTGTGTCTTGAATGTTTTTTAATTCTAAAAATATTCTTGAGCTTTTTTCTGGGGTGCACTTATTTGGAAACAGTTTGATCCTTTAGTTCTTGCTTTTATGATCTTTTGCTTTTTTTCAGTCTGAGGCTAATTATTGCTCATTACCGATATGTGACCTTCTTGATAATACTCTGAATTAAGAGTTTTACCAGTCGGGGTGGTGGGAATAGATACTGTTTCTGGCCTTGTGTGAGTGATGGCCCTCTTCTCTAATTCTTTTGAATTATTTCCTTCTCTGGTGTTGGATATTTTACTCACTTGCATGGGCTTTTCAGTACTCAACTGAAGACCTGAGAGGGACTCTCTGCAGATATCCAGGCGTATCCCTATGTGCTCCTCTCTCTCATCTTCCTTACTTTGTCCTGTGAACTCTGGATGTCTTGTTTGCCCACAGCTTGTAACTGAAGCTCCACTCAGCGTTTGCCAAGTTCTGCCTGGATTCTCTTTCCCTGCAGTGCTAAGCTAGGGTCAAATATAATGCTCACCTCCTTTGTTTGCTTCCTTATAGGGACTTTTGTCCTTTGTTACTGCATGTTCAGTGTTTGAAAACCTTTATTTCTATTTTCCAGTTTTGTGGTGTTTTTAGGTGGGAAGCAAATCTAGTTCTTTTTACCCAAGTTTGTATATTTGCACTTCTAATTATTCTGTATAATTTAATTTCTTGTTAATTTCAGTTCCCTTTGCAGTCTCTCTATAATACAAGTGCCACAATTTAGAATATGTTTTTTTTAGTGATGTATCTGAAACTCGGCACATAGTCAGTGAATATTTGTTGTTTCAGTATTGAATAGGGACACAAGTGAGTAAGATAAAGTTCGTATTCCCACAGAGCTTCATGGCACGTGGTAAGTGATTAATGAACATAGTTGTTATTTTAATCTAGTGTAGCATGGAGCAGAGAGCTTATTTTATTAAAAAAGAGTATTTGGTTAAGTACATGAGTAAATCTGTGGACTTTTCTTCAGCATATTTTTCTTAGCATCTAATGGCAGTAACAAAGACCTAGACTTTGAAAGGAAGAAGTAATTGAATGTGTATGGTCTCAGTTACCATTTATTAAGTACTTACTATATGTCAAAAATTGTTTTGTACTAAATTAGCATACTCTAGTATGGATATTTTGTAGCTAGGGTAAATGACAAGTTTCAAACCCAGCTTTTAACCATTACACTTACTTCACTTATTTCAGTAGGAAGTTAGTAAGATTTTTAACAAAGAAAGAGATTTAAATTTGTGTGCTAAGTAGAGCTCCCTCAGCATAGGGACTATCTTTTTCTTTTTTTAATCTTCATTGCTTTGCACAATTATTAGCACACAGTAGCTACTTGTAATTGGAGAAGTAATGAGATAACCTATTAGACATAAGAGACATATTAATAGCATACCTAATATTGGATATGCTGATATAAATAGTTTAAGTGTATACTGAATGATCTACTTCTGTGGAAGTAATGTGGAGGTTTGTTTTGTCATGTACACATGTGAAAATTCTCTGTTCAGTGCCTACCACATTTTAGAGCTCCATGAATGTCTTTTCTTAATTTCATAAAATTGAGTAACGGTAGTGTTTTGAAAGAAAATAATAATTCATATTATTTTGTTTGGGGATGGAGTAAAGGAATAAATATAATGTAACAGCCTGATAATCATTTTAGCTTGCACAGCCATGTATTTAAGATACTTATTTGTGGGTGGTTATTAACGTATTAATGTTAAAACATACATGGAATACAAGGTGTCCCAAAAGTTGCCATGCATAGGTAAAATGGGAAATTGTAGCTAAATGTACCTTTATTTACAAGATATTCATTACAAAATTTTTATTTTGCATGGAGACTTTGGGAACACTCTGTATTTAGTGAAAAATATCTCATTATGTAACAATCGATGTCTTTTCAAATCTTGTTTTCCTAGCAGCAGAATTAGGAAAGATAATTTGCAAGCAAATTAACATTTCAAATTTTGGATTACAACTTTTATACCATACTTAAATACACAGGTACAAACACAGCTGACATATTGTACACCTCTGCATGGCTTACTTGAAAAGTAGAACAGTTGTTTAACTGGATGACTATCAGAATGGTCAACACAGATTGATGGGTTTGAGTGCAGTAGACAGTGGGTATGCAGATGGTGTTGTCTGTACCATTTGACAGGAGATGGCTGAGTCTTTAAAATGATTTCAATAGAATGGCTTTGGTGTTGTTGCAGTAAAGGGCATCTATTCAACCTCAGGTGCTGTGCAGATGGCAAAGCCAAGCTAATCTAGAAAAATGAGAAACAAGTGACTATTTAATGTACAGGAATGCATGATCTGCATCACAAATAAATGACGGTATTACATGTAGGAAACCTAGCCAGATGGCTGTGCATTAAAACACATGACTCCTTGAGAGAATTAAGTACAGGCAATTTGCTCAGATTTTCTGCAGGCCTGCTGCATATTATATTGGGGTAGGGAGAACAAGAGATTAAGTGCTTTATTTATTGAAAGTGTTTAGGTGAAATTGGCAGTTATTTAAGCATAATCTGATCTCCATGAGTATTTAAATTGTCTCTTTATAGAAAAAAAGTGATGAGGGACAGCTTGCTTTAAAACAAAAGGATATAAAGAGTAAGATTGTCTAGTGAACCTGTGGAAAATGCAACTGTCTTTTGGCTCACATTTTTCAGTTTTGTAAGTTTTCTACTAGGCAAAAGCTTAAAAAAATTGTTAGGACTAGTATGATAAAAGTATTTCTTTTGCTATAGTGATTTTAATAAATTCAAATATCAGTGACATATGGAAATTTTAAAATGGGAGGAATTAATGTGTTGAGTGCTGGGTGAAATGGGACCATTTTCACTGGTAACATGTTACATTTTTGTTTTTCAGCTTAAAGAAAGTGGTTATTGTACAGGTCATGAACCAGATTCCCTGGAATTCAGCACTGTGGGAGGATGGGTATCTACTCGGGCATCAGGCATGAAGAAGAATATCTATGGCAATATCGAGGACCTGGTAAATTTTTTTCTATTTATTATTATATAGTTATTATATATAACTGTAATTATATAGTTATTATATAATAATTGATTTGTATGTAGAGTTTATAATAAAGTGATTAAAAGCCTTTAAAAATTAAGAGTTGGATAGTAGACACCATCATAAGTATACTTTTTAAAAAGATTATAATAATGTTGAATATGTATAGTAGAAGTAATTAAAGGACACAACTGTGGTCATTATTTAAGGATGCCCTTTTCAAGTGGCTACTATTTAAGCATTGTAGATGTTTCATCTAACTTATAAAATACAGTCAGCTCTCCATATTTGCTGGTTCTGCATCTGCAGATTCAACCAACTGTCGCTCAAAAATATTTGAATTAAAAAAACCCAATAAACAACAATAAAAAATACAAAAAATATAGTATAACAACTATTTCTATAGCATTTACATTGTATTAGGAATTATAAGTAATCTATAAAGGATTTAAAGTATGTGAAAGGATATGGATAAGTTATATGTAAAACCTATGTTATTTTATATAAGGGACTTGAGTATCCATGGATTTTGGTATCTTTGGGGGTCCTGGAACAATCCCATACAATACCGAGGATGGCAGTATACAAATATTATTTTACAAGCCTTATGGAAATTTAGTCTCCAGCTCTACCCAGATTTTAGTCCATTTATTTAGGTGATTTCATTATTGCCACTTGGTTGCCTTAGGGGATTTTACATTGTCCTTAAAGTATTTTTTTCTATATAGATTTAAAGAGCCTGATTGAAATTGTTCTAATGAGTAGTGGTATGACCTGCAGTGTTTTTTGTGCACACCATTTTGTTTTAGCTCATCTGGTGCCACTTTGTTGGGAGTTAGTGTGACAATATTGTAAGTATGGATACCCTAGTTAGGAATTAGGTATCATTTGTTCCATTTGTTGCTTTTCCAGTAATTAGTTATGTGACTTTGTACAAATTGGTTCACCTTTCTAAATTTCAGTTTCCTCTTAGATAATGATATTCACTGCATAGAATTATTATGAGGAGTAAAGGATATAAAATGGTGTGTAGTAGGTGCTTCATAAATGTTAGTTCTTTTATCTTCAATACTTTGATAACAATTTAAGAGAACTTTAATTTATGAGAATATTAAACAGATGTTCCTAACAGTATTCTTAGAGCTGTTTGTTTAGCTTTGCTTTTTAAATCTAAAGTTTCAACATTTTCATCAATTTCTTTGTTGATAGGAATATCATATCTTTAATGAAATATTTGTTATAGTTAACACCCAATAATTTAAAACTTTTGTATATATTGTGAACATTTTTAAAATGTTTACATTATCTTGTTTATTTTCTTTTATTGAGGACATTTAGAAAAACACATTTTTCTTTTTGCACTTAAAATAACCTAAATTCTGTTTTAGTGGAGAAAATTTGATCCTTTTGCTATTGGCTTATTAAGAACTTTATCAGAGTTAGGCAAATAACTTATAAACTATTACATTCAGTCCTGCTAAAGTATATGACTTAATCATTTTTAGAGATATTTAACACATTGACTACCATGTGAGTTGTATTTAACTCAGGTTAGTTTTGAGTCCCAGGCCTCGTGAAGTAAAACTGCAATTGGTTTGTGAAAATCTTTCTTGTTGATGTTCTTATTATTACAATTAATATTGACAGTTTAATTCTAAAAATGGATTGTGTTGCATATAACTCATGAACAGAAAACAATAAAAAATAACAAATTAGAAAGGATTGTTTTTTAATAAAACACCATGGCCCCAGGAAAAACATTTTTTTCCTAGTGTGGCAATCAATGTGTTAAGGGGCACAAATTCTAAGTGTGTGTCCTAGTGTACTTATTTTCATTAATAATTACTTGGCACATTTTATTTCTGACTTAAATTTCTCTGCAGTATATAGTATCCTCTGACACTGTCTTAATTTACATTGTTTTTATGAAAACTACTAAAGTTGTTATTCTTTTAATCTATGTGACAGCAGTAGAACTCATAAAAAAGGTAAACTAAGAATGTGTTAATATATTTAATATTAGTACATATTTAAAGTATACCAAGTAATTATACTCATCTGTTTTCACTGTTTAAAAAATGTTGAAGATAGTTTAAATTTTTAACATCTGAAGATTTAGAAATTATGAATGCTTTCTATGTGCAATGAGATTAACTTTTCATCGTAAATTCTAGTCCCCATTTGTTTTCAAGTTTATTTTAAGGGAATCCCAACTGTAGTCCAACTCAAATATTTCTTAATTTATTGAATATCTCCTCACTGCAGGATTTCCTGAGCATTTCTGATTACACTTTCTTATGCTGGCATTATAGAGCTGAAGCTCATCACTATTAGCAGTAATCCACTGCTCCTATGAAAAGTACCTTGCTATATTTTTCAGTTATGAAGCACTCTTAGAAGGAAAAAAATAGAAATCTATAGTGACAAAATCAAACTAGAAATTCTGAATCTTCAAAAAAGGAAATAAAGTATGATCTAATAATGGACATTTAATTTTTAAAGATTTCCTGAAAAAAAGGTGCTTTTAAAATTATAACTGTGATACAGATAATTTAAATAATTAGAAACTTATTTTTATTTTAAAAATAATACTCATTATAGAAGTATAAAAAATATATGTTATAGGCCGGGCACGGTGTCATGCCTGTAATCGTAGCACTCTGGGAGGCGGAGGCAGGCGGATAGCTCGAGGTCAGGAGTTCGAAACCAGCCTGAGCAAGAGCGAGACTTTGTCTCTACTATAAATAGAAAGAAATTAATTGGCCAACTAATATATATAGAAAAAATCAGCTGGGTATGGTGGCACATGCCTGTAGTCCCAGCTACTCGGGAGGTTGAGGCAGCAGGATTGCTTGAACCTAGGGGTTTGAGGTTGCTGTGAGCTAGGCTGACGCCACAGCACTCACTCTAGCCTGGGCAACAAAGTGAGACTCTGTCTCAAAAAAAAAAAAAAAAAGTATGCTATATATTAATACATATAATCATTTCTAACACTTTTAATGTCTTCATATTTATCATTCTAGACCCTTTTCCAGGCATACCATAAATATATCTAGTTTTAAAGTGTGTTTAATCTGCTCTTTAAAATCAATAATCAACATATTAAAATGTAAATGAATATGGGTTTGCAAAGAGTTTATATAATTCTTTTACTGGTAATTCATGGTTTATTAAACTGATTCCCTCTTAATGAACATTTAAATTATTCTGGAATTCAAAATTACAAGAAGCAAAGGAAAAAAACCCTCTTTTGTAATTTTTTTTGGCATACATCTTTAATCATTGTCTTTGGGTAAGCTATTGGAGGTTGGATCAAGAAATTTATGCATTTTAAGTCTTTGGATTCTTACAGTCAAATTACCCTATAAAAATTTTGTACCAATTGACATTCTCACTAGCACTATGAGAATCTTTGTGTATTACTGGACCTTTGTATTTTTCTTTTAATTTTGTATTTAATTGGTAGTGAATGTAAACTTTTTAATGTCATCATTGACAATTTTTATTTCTTATTTTGTGAATTGCTTGTTTATGTCTTTTGCTCATTTCCTTCAATAACAAATATACTTGTTATTTATCTGTCAATAATCCATTCTAAAAACATGTTGGATTTTTACCTAACTATTTGTGATTCTGTTTCCCGGGTTCTGTATTTTTAGAGTGATCCTCCTCCCCCTATATACTTAATTTCTCACTTGTATAATGTATCAGACATCACTCTCCTCTTTATAACTCCATCATTGCTTCTGCCTCTTCATCCCAAATTTGACCTGATCGTAATTAATATTTAATTCTTTTCACTTTTTTCTACTAAATGGGGCTAAAAGTGGAGATAAGGCAAGAATAAAATTCTTCTTAGAATTCTGAGCATATAGAGCAGTGCCTGACATGAATAATAGTGCTTCATAAATATTGCTAAATAAATGAAAGAATGAACCTGTTAAGGTATCATCATTTGCTTATTTTTTGAGTCCTTTAGTTCTTTGCCACATGGATAACCACTAAATTTAGTTTAAAGAAATGTGTTTTTCCATTCTTAAGATGATGAATATGCCTAAACCAGTTTAAATCAAGAGGTGTACAATCTTGGAATATTTTTTCCCTCTTTTAGGGTTATATACAAATTTATCTTTAGCCTAAAGATTACTTAAAAATTTAGAATTCTGAAGAGCATCACAATTTATCACTTAATCCAATACTTAAAAAGCCGTATTTTATATAAGTATATATGAATGTGTGTACACACACACACATTTACAGATGTCTAGAATTTACATCGTGTATTGTATTAAACAGGTGGTTCATATAAAAATGGTAACACCTAGAGGTATAATAGAAAAAAGCTGTCAAGGACCTCGTATGTCAACAGGCCCTGATATCCATCACTTCATCATGGGATCTGAAGGTAAATATAACTCCAAATTTATTATGAAAAGATATAGGTTAGTGACTCAGTTTTGTGAAAAGCTGTGATATTGTGATATCAGATCTTTGAAAAACATGTTTTGTATATTTAAGGAATAGTGATTTAAAAAATGTTTTATTATTTTAATTTAATACTTTATAAAGTTTTTGTTATGAAAATATCTGATTATACTTCCTGTTACAGTTTGCTTTTTTATATTTCTAGAGACAGCTTGATCTTTTGTTTTTATTTTTCTGTTAGAATTTTTAAGGAATTTTGGGAAAAGAGGTTTAAAATGGTTTAACATAGTATTCTTTAATCTTGTCAGAATTATCGGGAGAAAGGACTAATAAAGCATTATCTTATTGTCTTCTCTTTCTATAATTATATCTTTTATAAAGTTTTAATTACTGTTTGATTTTTAGAAGAAGTGGAATTTAAAATTCTGCTGATTCACATTATCTTTTAAAACCTCTGTTTGTTAATTTTTCACTATGCAAGTAGTATCTTTTGCTTGGTTACTTAATCCTGGGTAGATTAGAATATAGTTGTTTGTCTCATCTAAAATATTTAATTCCTGTATAAGTTAAAAAAAATTAACTTTTTTCCTTATATTATTTCCTTACAAAATAACAGTTATGTAGGCATGGCGAATTATATGGATAAAGTGATCATGGGCTTATTTTTCAGTCCTTAGAATGGGAGAGGGCAATCCCTTAAATTGAGAGAAATAGGATAAGTTAAAATAAGAAAGTATTGGCCGGGCGTGGTGGCTCACGCCTGTAATCCTAGCACTTTGGGAGGCCGAGGCGGGCGGATTGCTCAAGGTCAGGAGTTCGAAACCAGCCTGAGCGAGACCCCGTCTCTACCAAAAAATAGAAATAAATTAATTGACCAACTAAAAATATATATACAAAAAATTAGCCGGGCATGGTGGCGCATGCCTGTAGTCCCAGCTACTTGGGAGGCTGAGGCAGTAGGATCGCTGAGCCCCGGAGATTGAGGTTGCTGTGAGCCAGGCTGACGCCACGGCACTCACTCTAGCCTGGGCAACAAAGTGAGACTCTGTCTCAAAAAAAAAAGTATTAATATTTCTAGGTTAATAGAGGAACTTATATTACTCACTTCAGAAGGTGGTCCAAGCTACAAAAGATAGATTTTGATAACATTTAGCTATATTCATGAGTAAAAGAGCAGTTATAAATAAATAAATAAACTAAGATGGTAGGGAATAAATTCTAATCTTTGACAGTAACATCAAGGAGGGAAAAAAGGAACAATCTGTGTTTCTTAGTGATTTGATAGAGATCAACTGTTGGGCTGATGACCAGTGATGTGACTTAGATCTTTTACATGATAATCAATTACAGACCTTTCTCAAGGTACCTCACTAGTTCACTCATTTTTATTCCTCTTCTGATCAGCATACTTGTCTATGAAAAAACAGAACTGGTTTTTTAATAAGAAAAGTAAAATGGTGAATTGCTTTAAAATAATGTAATTATCTAGTAAGTCTTATTCTGGAACTTCCTGTACTAATGTGTCATCTAAAAATGAAAAGAGTATTACTCACTGTCATCAGATGTCAAGTTGAATAACAAACAGGTATTAAAACTCATAATTTTTAATTACACTATTGATGTATATATAGTTGGAGTCAGCTCTATAAATATAAACTGTTTTTTCAAGTAATTATATCAGACTTTTTTGTCTCCCATCAATTAGCCTTTTAAAAATTCTGGTTGCTAGGTATTTTGCTGGTACATTTAAGGGCACAGATAATAATAGACCATTATATTACAGTATGGTAGATTCTATGATCAAAGTAAATGCAGAAGAAATATAAACAAGGTCAGGTCGATGGGTGCTTAAGAAGGCTTCCCAAGAAAAGTCATACTTAAAGTGGTCTTTGAAGGTTGATAAGGATTAAATACTTCCACTTCAAGTTGAAGGAAAGAGGGGAGGGAGTTGCCCTGCAGAATGAATGGCATTTGGGGTGGGAGGGCACTTAGAAGTGAGAAAGGGCCATGTTTGCCTTATCATGAAGCTGCCAGTTTTTCAATATATCTGGAATATATGGTTTAATTATGGGGTGGAACAGGCAATAGTTCTAGGGGCAGAATGATAAGGGCTACAGGGTGGCTGGAGAGATAATTTGGTCTTTTCATTCCTTTTAAAATAGTTTGAACTTTTATCTAAAAGACTGGGCTACTTCCTTCAATAGGCAATTATTATATGAATTTAAGGAAGGCAAACTCATTATAATAAAGTACACAAAGAAATATAAGAAATATGGTTTATTAAAAATATATATGGTTAAATTACAGTAGTTAAATGAGATTTTATTGTAAATATGCATGCAAAATAGCATACTGATTTAAAAGCATAGTTTGAAGTTTTTCAGATGTGTATTTCAAGCCTCATTCCACTACTTGTATTTCTGTGACTTTGTATAAGTTAGAGTAATGCCCAATGTCCTCAGCTATAAAATGGGAATAATAAAAGTATTCATCTTCATAAATTTATTGCAAGGATTAAATGAGATTATGCTAAGCAGTTTATAAGCATGTAGTAAGTACTCACCAAATGTTCAATTTATTACTATTGGGCCAGGTGTGGTGGTGGCTCACACTTATAATCGTATCACCTTGGGAGGCCAAGGCAGGAGGATTGCTTGAGCCTGGGAGTTGGAGACCAGCCTGGGTAATATGATGAGACCCCATTTCTACAAAAATAAGAAAAATTAGGCAGGCATGGTGGCACACACCTGTAGTCCTAGCACTTGGGAAGCTGAGATGGAAGGATCCTTTGAGCCCAAGAGTTCAAGGCTGTAGTGAGTTGTATTATGCTACTGCATCCCAGCCTGGGCAACAGAGTGAGACTCTGTCTCTAAAAAAAGCAAAAAAAAAAGAAACAAAACCTACTTTCCCTATCTAGCTAAGTTCCATGTGTCACTAACCACATTAAGTTTAAATGTGTTTTGTTCGTTGTCATGAATTTTTCATAAAAACTTTTTCAACAAGAAGCTTCTTCCCATTTTAGATGTTATAACATCAATATAATGAAAATTTTAGCAAATATTCAAAGCATTTAAAATGTTTTTTATTCTTTTCCTATATTTGGAATTTACTAGTAACTTATAATGATTTGCTCTTTGATTTAAAAAACAAAAGTACATTTTTATTTTTTAACCCATAAACCACCCTGTTTTAGTCTTTGCTCTATAATTAAAGACTTGAAAAGTTCAGTATCAATTCTTTTATAAAGTTTTACCAGTCATCTTTGGGGCAAATAAAAATCATCCTTTGGTAGGTTCCTCAGGAAAGACACATTTGTATATCCTCTTGAGTTTTAGAAGGTTCTAAACTGGTTTTCTCTTTGATACTTGAAGGAAAGCTTGAGTGGATATAGCTTTGGGTCACAATTTTGTTTCCACAAGTTCTTGAAAATGCTGCTCCATTGTTACTTTGGTTTTGTATATTGTTTTAAAGAAATATGATATCAGTCTAATTCTCTTGGATTAGTAGGTGGTTTTCTGGTTTTGCCTAGAGGCCTTGAGGATTTTTATTTTTTTAATCAATAAAGTATAACACTTTTTACAACTTTGAGTTGATTGTCCTGGGTCATTTTGCTCTGGTATTTACCAGACCCTTTCTATTGTAGATTCAGGTCTTCTTTTATTTCTGGAAAGTGTTTTTGGACTGTAGAGTTAAATATTAGGGTTTTTTCCCCATTGTTTTGATTTTTTTTCTTCAGGAATGTTGATTATACATATATTTGACTTTCTTTGCCTGTTTTCCATTTCAGCCACTTTTACTCTTACCCTTTTTCTCTGACTTCTTTATTTCATTTTTATTGTCTTGGTTATTTTCCTGCTTTTTTTCAATGCCCTTTATTAAGTTTTCATCTAAATCTATTTTGTATTCTCCTTTGGGTAGATTATAACTTAGCCTTCATATATACATATATACATATATATATATATACATACACATATATATACACACACATATATATTCTATTTCTTTCTATCTCTTGTTTCATTTCTTTTTTTTTGTTCATTTATGCTTTTGATTTTCATATTTCTGATTCAAGGTATTTTTTTCATATCCCAATTGCTTGATTAATGATATCTAATTCAGATTGAAATGTGTTGCAGTTTTTTAGGATTATGGTTGGTTTGGGAGTAAGGGGAGACTTTTTATTTGCAGAAATACTTTTATTGGCATTTTTTGACATTTTTGCAGGTTTTTTTAAATGAACTTGGTCTGTCTTTTTCTAGTCCTATTTATTGGAAAGAACTCCTAATTTGAGTGTTCTTTTCTGACACTTCTACCCTCTTTCTGTGCTATTTGTTTTGTAAATGGTGGTGTTTTTGGTGGAGGAAGGGATGGCATGTCTTGTTTTTCTTTCATATCTATAGGATCTTTAATTTCCAACTCTTATTTTATTCTTTATCTTTACTTCCTTGTCTCTTAGGTATACCATACATATACATATATGTGTGTGTGTGTGTGTGTGTGTGTGTGTGTGTGTGTGTGTATGTCCCCAAGGCTGCCATTTCTCATTCCTCCCATTTTCAAACTCCTTCCCATAGTCAGGACTATGGACCACCAAGTTCTTTATGGTATTTTGGCATTATTGTTGCACCTTTGTTTTCTGGGAGTAATTATGGCTGTGCTTCCTCCTAGTCCTCTATTACTTCTGCTCTTACTGTGTAGTCTTTTAAGCCTCCTCTTACTCATTTTCTACCCTTACAAGCTTGTGGCAGCTGGAATGCTGTAGGAAATCTGATGGAATTTTTTTTTTATATCTACTTAGACAGAATTTGAAGGTTGCAGTATTTTTTGTTTCCTAGTAATACGGAAGATGTAGGTTTTGTGTGGCTTTGTTTTTCTTGTTGATTTTTATATTTTGGGGGGATGGTAGAGAATGTAGAGAAAAAGAGAAGATTCAAAATGAAATGCCTATCATTCTTCTTAATTCTGAAGTCACCTGAG